ATAAATAAATATTAAATTATTTGTTATAGTCAAGGTTTGAGAATTTAATAACTGATTATTACTGAATTAAAAATTACTCATTGAGGAAATTTGCATAGATACTTATGGTGGTTGTTCCACTGATTAATAAATAATTTTTGGCATCAGACCTGTACACAGGATGTAGCTATGAATATATGTGGAAAGAGAAAATTAATTACATTGCTATTTCTATTACATTACATTACTATTAATGTAATGACCTAGGTTCAAATCCCAACTTTGCCATTTAATACCTGTATGATCTTGAGCAAAGTTCACAACCTCTCTACATACCTAACACAATGTACTCATGGTAAGAATTCAATATATGAGCATTCCTAAAGTATAGTTTGGTTTCTAAGCACCATTCTCCAGTAAAAGGACACAAAGGCCCTTAAGGAACTTGCTGTTTTTCATTCTGTGGCTTGAAAATCGCAATTGTGCCTGGAATATCTTCTGCCAGAAAGCAAGAAAATATCAAAAGGCTAAAAGAGTTGTGTTACAAGGTCATGGGGCCATCTTGAAGAAGTTTTTGCTGGACAAGTTTGGAGGATTTGGAGTACTGAAAAAGAATAATTGATTATCACACAGTACATAAATAAAACCAATGTGTCCATAGAACTGAAAAGAAAATATTTTCTTTACAGAAATATACCAGCGAATAAATGGGAGGAATTATAAAGTTAGAATATTACCACTCTGCCACCCCAATGTAATAGTTAATCCAGGTAAGAATTGATGGATTCTAATATCACTAGGTAAAGAATAACAATTATCACCCCACAGAATCTTACTGCATTTCAGAAGGGGAAAAAATGCAACTTTATACTAAAGAGACCAATAGTCAAACTTCATGTCAACAGCAGTAGAACAGTCTAACATTATTTGCCTTCTATTAGAACGCAGTATGAAATATACAACTTTACCTTTGAAATATTCTTGCCAAAAGTTTTAACCTGAATCCAATCCAGACTCTGAATGCAACTTTTAAGTTTACAGGATATCAAGTAAAGAGACACAAGTTAAACAACACTGTGAAGAAACAATCAGACCATTCTGGACTCCCCAAAATGTTAATGCTGTTTTTTAAAAAAAATTTCTAACTAAAATCAACAAACAACTGCAGTGAATTTGCCTGGATTGAATCCCAATCTAGAGAAGAAAATATCTATAAAAAGCATTCTAGCAGTAAGTGGTCCCAAACTGGAGTGCAGTGGCATGATCACAGCTCACTACAGCCTCAAAATCTTGGACTCAGGCAATCCTTCCACCTCAGCCTCACGAGTGACTGTGACTACAGGTGTGCACCACCAAGCCCAGTTCATTTTTGATGTCTCACTATGTTGCCTAGGCGGGTCTCCAACTCCTGGGCTCAAACAATCCTCCCACCTCGGCCTCCCAAAGTGCTAGGATTACAGGCGTGAGCCACTGTGCCTGGCCAGAATGTAGATTGATATTACATTATTAGTAGTTATCTACTGATGTGTAACATATTGTCCCAAACTTAGAGGCTTGAAACAACAAACACTCTTACAGTTTCTTTGCATCAGGAACCTAAGCATGACTTTGCTGGGTGGTTCCGGCCCAGGGTCTCTCCTAAATCAAGTTGTTGACCAGGCTACAGACATCCCCAGGTTCCACTGGAGAAGGATTCCCTATCAAGCTCATTCACGAGCTTACTGATAAGCCTCAGGTCCTTGCACATGAACCTCACAATAAGCTGCCTGAGTGTCTTCACCACGTGATCACTGCCCTCCTTCTCCCCAGAGCTACCTCACACGATGGCAACTGGCTTCTCTCAGAGCAAGTGACTCTAGAAAGAGCAAGAGAGAACTTCTAAGACAGAGGCTATACGGTCTTGGTCAGGCGTGGTGGCTCATGCCTCTAATCCTAACACTTTGGGAGGTCAAGGCAGGAGGATTGTTTGAGCCCAGGAGTTCAAGACCAGCCTGAGCAACATAGCAAGACCTCATCTCTAAAAAAAGAAATCAAAGAATTAACCAGGCATGGTGGCTCACACCTGTAGTCCCAGCTACTTGGGAGCCTGAAGTGGAAAGTTCACCAGAGTCCAGGAGGTCAAGACTGTGATGAGCTGTGATCATGCCACTGGACTCCAGTCTGGGAGACAAAGTGAGAACCGATTCAAAATAAAAAAAAAAAAGACAGAGGCCACAGTCATTTTATACCCCAATCTCTAAAGTAATACCCCATTCTTTCTGATATATTTTATTCACTAGAAGTAAGTCACTAAGTCCAAACCATACTCTAGGGTAAGGAATTAAACTCCATCTTTCAAAAGAAGGAGTATCAAAAAATCTGAGGGTTTGAGAAACACCACAGGTGATGTTATATCATTATAGTTACCTTTTAGATGCAATAACAGTAATGTGGTTATACAGTATTCTTGTTCTTAAGCTAAATATGCTGAATCAGTTAGAGATAATACATATGAAGTCTGTAACCTATTTTAAAGTGGTACTGCAAATATATGTTTATTTATGTGTGTGTGTGTGTGTGTTTGTGTGTGTGTGTGTGTGTGTTTGTGTGTGTGTGTGTGTGCTTGTGTGTGTGTATAAAGCAAATAAAAGAAAATACTACCAAATGTTGGATCTGGATGGATAATGGATGAGTGGCCTTTGTCATATTCCTTCACACTTTCTATGTATTTGAAAATTTTCAAAGTAGGAAGTTGGAGAAAAATAATTGAAAGTTGCTATGGCTTGTTCCCCCCAAAATTCATACTTTAAAGTCCCAACCCCCAGTGTGATGGTATTTAGAGGTGGAGTCTTCGGGAGGTAATTAGGTTAGATGAGATCCTGAGGGTGGGGCCCTCATGATGGGATTAGTGCCCTTATAAAAAACAACACCCAAGAGCTTAGTTCGCTTGTTTTCTGTCATGTGAGGACCCTGCAAGAAGGCAGCCATCTACAAGCCAGGAAGAGAGCCTTCACCAGAACCTGACCATGCACCCTGGTCTTGGACTTCCCAACCTCAAGGACTGTAAGAAATGTTTCTTTTATTTAAGCCACTCAGTCTGTGGTATTTTGTCATGGTAGCCCAAGCTGACTAAGACAAAGGCACTGACAACAATAACAAAGTGTGAACTTTCCACAAAGCTAATGTGTTGGGAGAATAAAGTCAGTGGTGAGAAGAGTTTTTTGATGCAGGAAATTGGCTGAAAGTAGAAATTATTATCATGACTGGACTTCACTTTTACACTCTAACTTCCCACCTCATCTCCATTTGGCAGTGATGTCACTGTAGACAGGGAACACCCAAAAGTGGCTCCTTCTCCTGCACCCCACGAGCTCCACAACCCCCTACTCAGCCTGCAGGATACCACAGGCCTTCACCCCCAGGGAGCCTCTGTCTATAAACACCAGTCCTTATCCGATCTTAAACTTCATCTCCTTTGCCATTGCCATACTCTTTTCTCCTATGTACTTTGGTTAATTGATGACACTCATTCATTTTTGCTTTTGGCAATAGGTTTGGTTTAGGGTTTGGGGCGGGTTATTATTTTTTTGAGTTGGAGTTTCACTCTAAGGCCAGGCTGGAATGCAGTGGCATGTCCATGGTCTCCGCAGCCTTGACTTGCTGGGTTCAGGCAGTCCTTCCACTGCCACACTTGCCTAATTTTTGACTTATTGTAGAGACAAGGTCTCACCAAGTTGCCCATACTGGTTTCAAACCCTTGGGCTCAGGCAATCCTCTCGCCTCTGCCTCCCAAAGTGCTGGGATTACAGGCATGAGCCACCGTGCCCAGCTGGTAATAGATTACTATTCATTCCATAATAAAATTCTTTATCACAAAATTTGAAAAATTCAATTAGAGGATTATAGTGTTAAAATACACACAGTATCACTTTTCATGCTTAAGCAGTTTCCAGCTCATTTGAAAAGATCAGCCAATTGATTGTGTAAATAAAAGTTTAGAATTAAGAGTCACTTCCCCTTGGTAATATCTCTCAAAACTACAATATTCATGTCCTTTGATCCAGCAAGTCGGCTTCTCAAATTTTGTCTTACTGATATATTTGCCCCCATGATGAATGAAATACAATATTCATAGAAGCCTTATTGATAATAGTGTGTCATATATTGCCATTTGTGTTAAAAGTAAAAAGAAAAATACAGTATGCAGAGTGTTAAAAATTAATAAATAAAAAGAATATGTATGTATACCTATAGGTGGATAGACTATTTCCAGAAGGGAATATGATTGCTAAAAGAGGGGTCACCTCTGAGGAGAACTGGGTGGCTGGGTAGAAGGCAGGGAAGGCTCTCACCAGATACTCTTTCCTATATTTAGAATTTTGTATCTTGTAAATATATTACCTATTTGTTCAAAACATGTTAAATTTAAATTGTAAAAAATTCTTATAACTTAGCTAAAGCAAGACATCTTCTCCACAAATTCTTTACTTTTAAGTATTTTAAGTATTTTATATTTTTTTCCAATGAGGAAAAGTATATATATATACTTTTTTCCTGATTGGCAATATATATAGACCAGAGATGCCAAAAATGTAGACACATTTTAAGAGATGTTCACTGTAATCAGAAGTGTCTAGACGCTGATGGTAACCACTCCAAGCACCTCTTACAATTGCAGAAGTCAAACACGACTTGTATTCATCTTTTGTTTTATCTGTATATTTAATACAGCTTTTTTCCTTTCTTAAAAGGTATACAATTTTTTGGCACCCTCTGTGTGTGTATGTATGTGTATGTGTGTGTGTGTATATATGTATATATATATATATATATATATATATATATATAACAGATATAATATATATTGTATATATCATGGCCTGTGTTCAGGTCGCCTTACCCACGTTGCCCCCAACCCTCTTACCCTCCTGCTGAGAGCAGCCTTTGAAGATTGTGGCCAGTCATTCCAGTGCCTTCACCTGACATCTGTTCCTTTATTTCTGCTTTATTTCAGATGCACACACACACTTCATACACTGTACCTGGTTGGTCTTGTCTCTCTCCTCCACACAGGAGGCAGCGCGCTTCTGCTCTCTATCGACTTCTGATTCTGAAGCCAGCCTCATGATCGTCTCTCTGCTAGCTTTTGCTTCCATCTCATGGACATTTACAGTCTCTTCAAGAGCAGCAATTTGTCCTTTCACAAATGTGTTTTCCTTGCACAGCTCTCTAAGCTGAAGAGAAAGCAATTACAGCTGACCTATAAAAATGAACGCTTTCCTACACTTTATCTAAGCAACTCCAACCTAGACCCCCGTGACTGCATTATCATATGGAAAAAAAAGCGAAAACACTATCCCTTCATGGACCCAAAAGATCACATTTTCAAAGGCGGCCTCTACACTCTGTGGGTAGGTGCAGAGTCAGTGGCCAAATTAAAATCATTCAAAAGGCAACCACAAGGCAAAGAGGAGAGGTAAGCCAAAGTTTCCTGACAGAGCACGCATCAGCAAGTCTCTGAAACGGCTGAAAACTCCAGGTGTGGTGCAGCTTGACAGAGGTTACAGCTGGCAATGAAGCCAGGGAGTTCAGCCCATGTCCACTCGGGCCTACTGCAGTGAGGACACTACCCGGCACTGGGGGAAATACAGAGAAGACAAGACTATGTTTTGTTGTTGTTGTCAATGTTTTTGTTGTTTTAAGATATCCTTCTAATTAATATAAGCATAGAAAAATTTTGAATAGCGTGTTCAAACAGTAACTGTCATTGGAGGCTGGAATTAACAGGGCTTTTGTTCTCAATGCTGTACACTGAAATTGTTAACTGAGAGCATTTATAAGGTTTGTGAGGAAAAAAATAAAAGCAGCCAAGCTTCTTGACCTCAGAGAACTAGTTATACAGATGAGCTCACTCTATAGAGCCATGAGGATGCCTATAAGACTTGACTAACCTGGGCAACATACCAAGATCTCATCTCTACAAAAAATTAAAAAATCAGCCAGCCATGGTGGCACACGCCTGTAGTCCCAGCTATTCAGGAGACTGAAGCAGAAGAATCACCTGAACACAAGATATCGAGGCTGCAGTGAATCATGATGGTGTCACTGCACTCCAATCTGGGTGACAGTGAAACCCTGACAAAAAAAAAAAAGAAGACTTGAAACCCCACAGGCCAAGGACAGCATTTGTGTTATGACTATCTGTGGAAGTGATGTATCTTTTACATCTCTGCAAACATGGCAGCTTGCTCCAAACTCAGTGCTGCTCCCGCTCTCTTCAACCCTTTTCCTCGCATTTGCATCACCAACATCTTTCAGAACTCCCACCTCAGGGGTCCCTCAACCAGCCTGTCTAATTCTTGCCTCTAACCTGCTTCACCCTCTACCCGCCACATCCTGATTGGTTTCATTGCCCCCGTTACCGTGTGGTATAATATCAGATATGTATTTTCGTATTTCTTCACCATCTTCACCCCTTGGATCATGACAGCTCTAGGAGAGCATGGACTTAGCTGGTCTCTTTCCCTGCTGTCTCTCCAGCACCCAGAATAGTGTCTAGCAGACAGTAAGCACTCACTAAATATTTGTGCAATGGATAAATGAATAGCAAACAAATGATCTGGAATGCCTCCTCTCTCATGCGGTTCCTTGGGAGTATGTGTGCACGTGTTCAGAGGACATGTGACAGCGCAAGGAATAGGCTTTGAAACCAGGGTGATTTTGTTCTTGGAGGAAAAAGATCAAGATCAAGACAGCAGACTTCCTGATCTTGGCCAAAGATTGTTTTGTTTAAAGCCAGACACCTGCTCAGGTGGTTGGGGTGCTAAAACCTCAGAACTCCGCTATCTGTTGTAAAACTCAGGTTCCCTTATAATTCAGGTATGCTGAGGCCAACACATCAGGAGGCAACTGCCATCCTGGACTTCACAGCAACCTGGATGGACTTAGAGGCTATAATACTGAGTGATCTATCAAGAAACAAAGAACTGAGTATCACATGTTCTCACTTATAAGCAGACATTGGACAATTATTGTAATACTACAGGAAAAGGATTGGCAGTAGCTGGAAACTGCCGGGGGAGGGAGGGGAGGTGGGAATGGCAGTAGTGGGAATCTGCCGGGGGAGGGGGGACACACCTCATCAACAAGGGTAGCTGCATAATGAACATTTGTATATCTATCCCTGAATTGTCCCCCACACCTTTAAAATAAAAAAAAAATTAAAAGGGAACAAAAGAAAAGGTCACTTGTTTATCATTCGCAAGAGGAGAGGACTCGTCATACTATGCAGGCCCATAGGGAAGCACCAGGGCCAATCAGGAGGCAGAAGGCCTGGGGGGGAAACATGGGCGAGGAAACGTTGCTTCCACGAGAAGAAGTAAGCAAGGCAGAGTACACAGGCTTAAGATAGCTAGTCTGGATGATTTCAGCGGCTTTGGGGCTGTCTGGAGCTGTCTGGTCTCTGGCCCTGGGGTGATCAGGGCCTGGGAGTGTAAGGGCCAGTTACTGGTTGAGGAGTGGGCCCTGGACTGGTCAGTTTGTGTCTGAAAGCTCTGCTAGACAGGGTAGTCCCTTCTGAGTCAACAGGGCTCCAGAGATCAAAGCATTAGAAATACAGACCCTAAAAGGACACGAGTCATACCATGGAAACACCCAGATGAGCGCCTGGAGACTGTGTCTGATGGAAGAAAGGCTGTTGTGAAAGAAGGGAAAAATTTCCCTTTCTTTTCCCACCACTTGGCTTGAAAGATAATCCCTGCCAAGTGTGGTAGCTCACACCTGTAATCCCAGCACTTTCGAAGACTGTAATCCCAGCACTTTGGAGGCGAGAGGATTGTCTGAGCCCAGGGGTTCGAGACCAGCCTGGGCAACTTGGCGAGACTTCAAAAAACTATCTGGTTGTGGTGGTATGCCCCTGTAGTTCTAGCTACCTGGAAGGCTGAGGTGGAAGGATCGCCTGAGCCCAGCAGGTTGAGGCTGCGGTGGTTGCAGCTGAGCTCCAGGTCACAGGTAGTCACAATGGGGAGGAGGAGGCATTCAGCATCCATAAGGATATCAGGGAGCCCCCAGGCCTGAACTACCAAAACTCAGCAGTGAGGTGGAATACGTCCCAAAGAAACATGAAATTGTCTTGCAGCTTCCAGAGAGGACACTTGGCATGTTCACTAATAGACGCCTGAGAGGTGGCTTTTAATACTTTCCCTGTTTAACTCGAGGATACTCTGGTGATAGCTGGGACTACAGCATTTTTTAAAAGAGAGTTAGTAATTCTCTCTCTCTCTCTCTCTCTCTCTCTGGTAATTCTCTTTAGGATTAGAGGCAAGTTCTGTTTAGAAAAAAAAACTCCAGGAATATTTGTTATATTTTATTTTCACCTTGAAAACCAGTCAGATTTGCTTCAGTCTCAAAGAGCATGTTTATGTAAAATTAAATAAACATGACAGGGCAACACTGTGGGAGCTTTTCTGTCCTCTCAATAAATCCTACTTTCTAAAAAAAAGAACATAGCAGTGAGCTGCACTTTTTTTTTTTCTAAATGGGTTAAGGGTTAAGAATGGCTGCATGGAAATCTGCCAGGAAGAAAGAATAGGGAAGGTATGTAAATAAGCAAAGACACCATAAGCACTCAGACACTTTCAGGTACCCAAATGAATCCCTATGGGCCAAGTAAATAATCGAATTCATTAATTGAATTGAGCAGTTCATTACCTGAATTATTCAGTTAATATCATTAATTTCCATCTCATTGGCACTCTACCATTAAAGTAAGATTTTTATTATTTGGTGTTAAATGTAAAATTTTAAAAGTACTTTAGAGCTAATCTTAACCTTACATGCAATAAGTATTCCCAAAGTGACACACAGCTGGTTTTGTGTCTGTATGTGTTTCTGTCTATAACAAAAAGGAAAAAAACTCCCAAAAATATATCCCTAAAATGAACAATTAACTGTATGTGACAACCTAAACATATTATAGCCACACAATTAAGTCCTTTTGAAGGATAGTTAATTCCCAGTAGTGCTAGAAAGGATTTCAAAACTGAGGCTCAGAGAGATGGTGCTGTAATACCCCAAGTCACCCAGTTAACTAATGTAACACTTCGGTTACTGTCCCATTCTCCTGCCACTCCCAGCCTCAAGCAGCACTTCCTTTCATATAACATGTCAGAATAATCACTCTATGTATAGACTGTTAAATCTGCATACAAACACCTTTAAAATTAAATCTTCATCTGATGCCTTTTTGGTCTTCTCATCTGGATCCAGACAGTCACGAAGTTGATTTAGAAATTCCTCATGTTTTCTGGAATTCTTTGAGACTTGTTTCTTATTTTCCTCATTTTCTTTTGAACACTTTCTACCAGGCAAAAAACAAATAAGTCAAGCTTTAACACCATGGAAGATAAGATTCATCAAGCCTAGTCAGAACTAAAGTTCTCAGAGGGAAATCACTCATTGACGTTTTCAACGCAGCACCGTTTCCCAGACACAGAGCCAGCCATGGGCATGCAAGCCCTGTAAGGGAAAGAGCAAGGAGGAAGCGATCTTGAGGAACCTACAAAAAGGAATGTAGAGCCTCACAGGATCATTGCCCTGCTACCCTGAGGGGAGACGGATTCTCCTGTCCTAAATCCTGGAAGCAAATGGAGGCTTCCAGATCACACATGGACCCTTTGTCACATGTGTGGTCACAGTCCACATAGGCATTCGTCTCCACTGGGGCCTCCTGAAGAAGGAGAGTGCTGCCACATTGGTTCTAGAACAGTAGTCCCCAACCTTTTTGGCATCAGGGACCGGTTTCATGGAAGACAATTTTTCCGCGGATGGTGCAGGGGGAGGGGAGGGATGCTTTCAGAATGATTCAAGAGCATTACATTTATTGTACGCTATATTTCTATTATTATTATATTGTAATATGCAATGAAATATAGAGCATCACAATCTCAGTTTCACCTCAGATCATCAGGCTTTATATTCTCATAAGGAGTATGCAACCTAGATCCCTCGCATGTGCAGTCCACAATAGGTTCACGCACCTATGAGAATCTAATGTCACCACTAACGTGACAGGAAATGGAGCTTAAGCAGTAATTTGAGCAATGGGGAATGGCTGGAAATTCAGATGAAGCTTTGCTGGCTCACCCACCACTCACCTCCTGCTGTGCAGTCCCATTCCAAATAGGCCACCGTACCAGTCTGTGGCCCAGGGATTGGGGACCCCTGTTCTGGAGGACCAAGCTTTATCTTATTTTCTTTTTTTTTTTTTTTTTAGTTGGAGTCTCACTGTCGCCCAGACTGGAGTGCAGTGGCTGCTCCCGGCCACCGCAGCCTCGACCTGCTAGGCTCTGGCGATCCTTCTGCCTCAGCCTTTCAAGTAGCTGGAACAACAGGTGCACTTTACCACGCCCGGCGAATTTTTTGATTTATTGTAGAGATGAGGTCTCGCCTGCCCAGGCGGGTCTCTAACCCGCGGGCTCAGGCAATCCACTCACCTCAGCCTCCCAAAGGCGCAGAATTCCAGGCTGAGCCACTGAGCCCGGCGCTTTATCTTATTTTCAAACGTTATACAGTACAGTGATCTATGAGCATCCTGGCTCATGGCCAAGCATGACTATAACAATAAATGCATCAGAGATCATTATCAATTTTCACATATCTTTAAAGAGTCTTTAAAGAGTATTGGAAGAACGGATGCCAGGTGCAGTGACTCATGCCTGTAATCCCAGCACTTTGGGTGGCCGAGACAAGAGGATTACCTGAACCCAAGGATTTGAGAACAGCCTAGGCAACTTGGCAAGACCTCATCTCTACAATAAATAATAATTTTAAAAAAATTAGCTGGGCATGGTGGTGCACATCTGTAGTTCCAGCTACTTAGAAGGCTGAAGTGGCAGGAGCGCCTGAGTCCAGCAGGTCGAGGCTGCAGTGGTCATGACTGTGTCACTGCACCAGCCTGGGCGACAGAGTGAAACTCCAACTCAAAAAATATAATAAAATAAAATAGGAAAGAAAATCAGTAAATCAAATATGTCTGCAGCTCTGTATTTATTGCATCTCTACTCACAATAGCAAAGATATGGAATCAAACTAAGCGTCCATCGGTGGATGCATAGATAGACAATGTGGTGTATTACACAATGGAATGTTATTCTGTCAAAAAAAGAATGAAATCCTGACATTCAAGGCGAGATGGATGAATCTGGAAGACATATGTTAAATAAATTAAGTCAGGCACTCGGAAGATAAATGCCAAATATTCTCACTCATCTGTAGGAGCTATTACAAATAAAAGTTCATAGAAGTGGAGAGTAAAATTGTGGTTATTAGAGGCTGGAAAAAGCCGGGCACAGCAGCTCATGCCTGAAATCCCAGCATTTGGGAGACGGAGGTGAGAGGATTGCCTGAGACCAGGGGTTCAAGACTACACTGAGCAACTTGGCAAGACCTCATCTCTACAATAAATCAGAAAATTAGCCACGCGTCGTGGCGCATGCCTTTAGTCCCAGCTGCTTGGAAGGCTGAGGCAGAAGGATCACCTGAGCTCTACAGGTCGAGGCTGTGGCATCCCTAGCCACTGCACTCCAGCCTGGCTGACAGAGTGAGACTCCAACTCCAAAAAAAAAATAGGGTGGATGAGGGTTAGGAAAAGGTTGGATAGCTGATATAACCAACAGGAGGAATAAGTTCTAGTGTTTTATAGCACAGTAAAGTGAGTGTGATTCACAACAACTTAGTGCATATTTTCAAATAGTTAGAAGAGAGGATTTTGAATGTTCACAACACACAGAAATGATAAATGTTCAGGTGAGAAATCTGCTAAATGCCCTGATTTGATCATTACACATCGTATACATGCAATTGGACTATCACTTTGTATCCCATAAAAATGTATAATTATTATGCGTCAGCTAAAAATAAAAGGGGAGAAATAGTATTGGAAGGGCATTGGAATTGGCTAGTCATAGAAAAATGGAGGTTTTTGATTTGGAGACACAGGGTGTCACTCTGTCACCCAGGTTGGAGGGCAGTAGTGCAATCATAGCTCACTGCAGCCTCAAACTTCCTGAGTTCAAGCAATCTGCCCACCCCAGGCTCCTGAGTAGCTAGGACTACAGATGTGAGCCACCACAACTGGCTAAATTTAATTTTAAGAAAAAAATGAGATTTGTGGTCTGTTGTTAATATGGTATTTCAAATCTCAGATAGGTTTATTGAAATAGTATGATCTATTTCTAATGCTTTAAATGTTAGAGACTAAGAGATCATCAAAAATAGATACACTTTAAAGGCAAATTAGAATCATTTTCATCTTTTCAATACCCTAGATAATAAACATGATTATTGCTTTCCCTTTTTACCATGTTGAGTGCTTACTGTAAATTCTTTCACTTTATTCAAAGATTAACAAAGCGAGTAATTGCAGATATGGAAAAGCATGTCATATTTCTATTAATATTTAGAAAAATGTATAACAATAAAAGACTAACATCACTGTATCTTTGAGCCCCTTATTTTCAGCTTATGAGAGGTAATGTCTGTTTAATCTTTGGGACTTGTGAAATGCACGATTGATGCCATGATGCTGCCTAATTTACATATACAATCTCCTCCATTAATCCCAAGATTTCAATCTTACTTCTCCATCCCAGAGGTCTCTAAACTACCTCCACTTCTATTTGTTTTTCCCTTGACCCGACAAAGTTCCAGGAATCTACCCTAAGAACATAATCACATAAACGTATGAAAATATGAAGGCACATAGATATTCACTGCTGTTTCATTTTTTTCTTTTTTTTTTTTTTGGAATCAGAGTCTCACTCTGTTACCCAGGCTGGAGTGCAGCAGCATGATCACGGCTCACTGCAGCCTTGACCTCCTAAGCTCAGGTGATTCTTCCACCTCAGCCTCTCAAATAGCTGGGACTATGGGTGTGCACCATCATGTCCAGCTAAATTTTGGGGATATTGTTCTATAGAGAGGTGGTCTCACTATGTTCTCCAGGCTGGTCTCAAACTTCTGGGCTCAAGCAATTCTCCTACCTCAGCTTCCCAAAGTGATGTGAGGTTCAAGGGATACCAAAGAAGCCAGTGAATAAGGGAGAAAAGTGCAGCAAAACAGGTCAGGAAGAGCCTTTTAGGTCATAGAAAACACTGTCTTTACCCTAAGTGAGAAGATAAGTCCCTGGGGGACCCTAAGGCATTAATTGACATGATCTAATTTGTGTTTTAACAGAATCATTTCAGGGTCACAATCAGAGGCAGGAAAACCACTATATGGACTGAATGTCTGTATCCCCTTAGAATTCATATGTTGAAGTCTTGATCCTCAGAATGAAGGTATTTGGAAGCAGGACCTTTGAGAGGTAATTATATCATAAGAGTGTAGGCCCCATGAATGGAATTAGTGCCCCTATAAGAAGAGACATAATAGAGATTTTCTCCCTCTCCCCCTCCTCCCTT